TTCACACCGACTACTACGCACCCCACACCGTTCACACCGACTACTACACAGCCCACACCGTTCACACCGACTACTACACACCCCACACCGTTCACACCGACTCCTACACACCCCACACCGTTCACACCGACTACTACACACCCCACACCGTTCACACCGACTACTGCACAACACAGTGTTCACACCGACTACTACACACCCCACACCGTTCACACCGACTCCTACACAACACAGTGTTCACAATGACTATCAATTGACACAATGAGTGTCAATTACCTGGATATTCCCCAGCTGTCCTGTTGACTCCATTCTGCTGGCAACATTAACCGTATTCCCCCAGATATCATAATGTGGTTTTCCTGCACCAATCACTCCCGCAAGAACCCCTCCTTTATTCATACCTGAAATGAATGTAGCACCAAGATAACAAGTGAGTGCTTGAGGCTGAATTCAAGTGCATCCAATGTTCAACTCATTGCCATATAATAGACATGGGACACGCAAAGGAGATTTATGCTTTTTATGCTCGACGCAATGACAGCACTTTAATCTGAGACATGGCGAGATTGCTTTCATCCTCAGCACAATAAGATTTCTTTAATCTGAGATAGACAGGTAGACAGGGTGGTGAAGAAAGGCGTTTGACACGCTTGCCTTCATTCGTAAGAGCATTGAGTACAGGAGTTGGAATGTCATGTTACAGCTGTACAAGACATTGGTAATGCCACATTTGGAGTACAGCATACAATTCTGGTCACCTTACTATAGGAAGGATGTTATTACACTGGAAAAAGTGCAAAAAAGATGTACAAGGATGTTATTGAGACTAGAAGGTTTGAGTTGTAAGGGGAAACTGAATTGGCTGGGACACTTTTTTACCTGGAACGTATGAGGCTGAGTGTTTATAAGGTAATGAGCGGCATAAATAGGTGAATAGCCAAGGTCTTTTCCTCAGAGTAGGAGAGTCCAAAACTAGAGGGCACAGGTTTAATGTGAGAGGGGAAAAATTTAAAAGGCACCTGAGGGGCAACATTTTCACACTGAGGGTGATGTATGTATGGAACAAGCTGCCAGAGAAAGTGGTAGAGATGGGTACAATTACAACACTTAAAAGACATTTGGACAGGAACGGTTTAGAGGGATATGGGTCAAACGCAGGAAAATGGGACTAGTTCAGTTTAGGAAATTTGGTTGACATTGGTGAGTTGGGCCGAACGGCCTGCTTCTGTGCTGTATGACTCTATGAGAGTACTTTCACCTGAGACACAGCGAAATCACTGAAATCTCTGATGAGATAATTTAAATCTCAGACATGGTGAGGCTACTTTAATTTTAGAAATTACTTTACTCTGAGATACACTGATAGTATTTAATCTGAGATCATAGTTAATCTGAGACACAGTGAGATTGTGTTAATCTGAGACATGGTGAGGTCACTTTAATCTGAGATATGGTGAGATTATGTTAATCACTCTTACCGATGCGTAGCATGAAGTTGTTAAATGATTGATAATTGATGTTCATTAAAGTGACTTTCATGGCCAATGCAAAGTCTGCCAGATCTGCTAGGTGCTGCCAGCGTTCCTTCACTGATTCTTGTTGATCCTTCTGGAAAATAGAGTGAGAATAAACGAGTTAATAAATATGCTAATGAGTAAGATCAACTGGTGGGCAGGAGTCAGAGAGGCTGGAGTCAGAGTAAATACAGTGTGGAGCTGGAGGAACACAGCAGGTCAGGCAGCATCAGAGGAGCAGAGAGTTAACATTTCGGGTTTACACCTTTCATCAGGCCTGGAGGACACATTAGTCTGAATTCTAATGTTTAGAGTTCAATCCGTTTAGCCTCGGTTTACAATAATATCCCTTTACCAGCAATCATCTCAGTGAACCTTCTCTGAACTGCCTCTAATGAAATGATATCTCTCCTTCAATAAGGGGATTAAAACTGTTACAGTACTGCAGATGTGGTCTCCCCAGCACCTTGTACAGTTACAGTAAGACTTCCCTACTCTTATACTCCAACCCCCTTGAAATAAAGGCTAACAGTCCATTGGCATTCCTGATTCCCTGCTGTGCCTGTGTGTTAGCTTCCTGTATTTCATGTATAAATACCCTCAGGTCCTTTTGTGTTGCAGCTCAAATGGGTGAACTCTGATTTTTAAAATCACACGCGCACACACACACAGACAAACAGATAGACACACAGACAAACAGACAGACAGACAGACACACACACACACACACACACACACAGACACACACACAGACAGACAGACAGAGACACACACTGTCAAGAAGCACTTACTTTGACAGTATTATTGTAACTGCTGGGAACAGTGTCTGGTATTAAGCCTGATGCTGCCATGTAGGTACTACCGATGGTCTTGATTTTGGTGATGTTTCGGAACTGGGGTTCATCCAATAACTGAGAAAGAGAGAAGAATATGAAGGTAGGGATGGATTTAAACGGTAAACCATAGTAGGAGACCCATCAATCAGAGCTCAGACATCTGTCATTACTTAGCAATTGGATAAGCCAGGTACAAGCTGAATGGGAACTTGGCAATCTTCAAGTCTCAGGTTGTAGAAAAAGGGAGAAGTGAGGCAATGGAATATTTGAACACGAGGATGTCGAAGTAACTTCACCCTTTATTTACACGCACATAGTACATGACACTGACCCAGCTAGCTCAGAACTGGCTCCTAGAGCAAACAGAACCCCTGACACTCCTGTTTATATGTGTCAGCCAGGGCTCCCTGATTGGACCAGGTTAACCTTGCTGATCTTGTTCTAATCGCTTCATCCCTCCCCTTCTTAGTCGGGACGTAGGCCCATTCTTTCTCCTGTAGCTTCTTCTGGGGCATTTTCACACCAGGTCCAGTTCCTCCGACTCTGCCTTGGATACAGCGACATGTACCAGACTGTAGGCAGCCTCTTGCACCCAGAGTGTCTCCGCCAAAATTCATCTGCTTCTTCAGGTGGTAATGGCATCGAAGCTGTGACATCTGCTGTGTCCAACTTATCCTCAGAGGTTTCTTCGAAGCTCGGTGGATGGGGAGAACCCATGGGTTCTGACAGCCTTGCTGGATGTTGAAGGGATGGGTATATTTTGGTCCTGCATTGTTTTCAAGTTCACAGCTTTCATATGCTCCACGTACTTGTTCAGAACCACCTCACCTACCCGAACTTTGTATGTCACAGAACCTGATTTCGCATCAATGACTAAAAACAGAACCCATGAAAGGACTGGCATAGTCCAGGGTTTACCTGGCCACTCCCATGAATGTGGGCAGCTGCTGCAGTAATTTTTGTGCCTGCTGACACTCTGGACATGGCCCCACCAACATGACTATGTCGGCATCCAACCCTGACCACCAGACATAACTTCTCATCGACATCTTCATTTTGACACTCCTGGATGTCAGCCAGTATCTGGCGATGACCTTTGCTCAGGACAATCACTGTTGCTACCCATCTGAACTAGTGGGAATCATACCTGAGTCCCCAGAATATTACCTGGTACAGTTACAAATTGAGCAAATTCAGATCCACTACTTACGCCATCAAAATCCGAGATGATTTCATTGAGGAATCGCAGACACTCGATGCCTCCATTGTTAATACTCTCCTCAGTGTAGAAGTCAGAGAAATTGGGGATTGATGCAAACATGACCCCAATCTCATCATACGACTGACTATACAATTCCTGCAGGAAGGAAAACATTTGAGAAATATTTCAGTAACAGTATCCAGAGTGAGTTAGCGCTGTTAGAGAGGCATCAGGAGTATTAGAGAGGAAGTTAGGGAGAGTGAGTGAGAGAAGGTGATGGAGAGAGAGAGAGACAGGGTGATAGAGAGAGGGTGACAGAGAGAAAGGGTGAAAGGGAGAGCAAGAAACAGACAGAGAGGTTGATACAGAGAGATGGAAAGAAAGACAAAGGGGGAGAGAGAGAGAGATGGAGAGAGAGAGAAAGAGAGAGAGACACACACACAGAAGAAACATGGGTAATAAATGTGACTTGTCAATCACCTCATCTCTCTTCTTGGAACCAAGGAAATGCCGAGCAACATGTTCCGGTAACATATTGGTGACAAGCGCTTCATTCCATCGCCGCATCTCGTAAACTCGTTCCTTCTGCTCATGGACATCAAGCTTCCACAGGAACAGTGTCCGTGCCAACTTTTCCACCTGAGAGAGAGGGAGCTCATTGTTTGTAGGACTGATAAAGCACACAGGAGTCATATTCTGCAGTTATTCTCCCTTCTTTCTACCCCTGACCCTTCAGAACCTGCTGAGATAAAACAATCGACATTTCCAGTATCAATGAGTCTTATAAGTCACACAGATTTCACTCTGAAACATTCCTTGCTCAGATCTCAGCTGCAGTAAACTGCACTCAGCTCTGGAGAGTACAGTTCAGGCTGCAGATAAGGGGTTTCAGCGATAATGGCAATTAATGGTTAGATTATAGACTAGGTTTCTCTTATCCTGAGTGTACAGGATGAAATAGTGTTCTAATTGAGGTGTTTAAAATGATTAAAGGATTTGATTGGGTCAAACTATTTCCTCTTGAGGACAATGGTTTTTGTGTGAATGTTGTTAACTCTTTGAACCGAGCCATTGTGTGCACTTCACATAGTAGCATGACTCAATGGTACTGAGGCCAACTGGCACTCTGGAATTCTCTCACCAGCTTTTGATGCTAGAAGGTCAACTGAAGCTTGACAGTTTTGTTATCTTAAAGGGATAAATGTGTATAAAGCAATAGTGGGACGTTATCTACTGAACTACTCCAAACGAGTTCTTTTCCTTCGATTGCACAGACTCCAGTTTATTGAAACACTTTGATGTCATAGTCAGTCGAATGAGCCTTGATATCAAGGGCTGTCGCTCTCCCTTCACCTCTGGCATTTAGCTCTTTTGTCCATGTTTGAACCAAGGCTGTAATGAAGTCAGGAGCTGAGTGGCCCTGGTGGAACCCAAACTGGACGTCACTGAGCAGGTTATTTCCGAGCAGGTGCTGCTTGATAGCACTGTTAGTGACACCTTCCATCACTTTACTGATGATCGAGAGGACACTGATGGGGCAGTAATTGGCCCAGTTGGATTTGTCTTGCTTTTTGTGTACAAGTCATATTTGGGCCTCTTCCACATTGTCGGGTAGATGTTAATTTTATAGCTGTACTGGAACAGCTTGACTAGGGAATGGCAAGTTCTGGGGCACAAGTCTTCAGTACTACTGCCGGAATGTTATCAGGGCTCATTGCCTTTGCAGTATCCAGTGCCTTCATTCTTTCCTTTATATCATGTGAAGTGAATCGATTAGCTGAAGACTGGCACTTGTGATGCTGGAGACCTCTGGAAGAGGCCATGATGGATTATTCACTTAGCCCTTCTGGCTGGCGATTGTTTCAAATACTTCAGCTTTCATTATTGTATTGATGTGCTGCCCTCTTCCATTATTGAGGATTGGGATATTTGTGAAGTCTCCTCTTCCAGTGAGTTGTTTAATTAGATGTTGCAGGACTGCAGAGATTATATCTGATCTCTTGGTTGTGGGATTGCTTAGCTCTGTCTATCATTTCCTGCTTATTCTGTTTAGTGTGCAAATACTCTGTTTTCTAGCTTCACCAGGTTGGCACCTCATTTTTGGTGTGTTTGGTGCTGCTCTGGGCATGCCCTCCTGCACTCTTTGTTGAACCAGCGTTGATCCCCTGGCCTGACGGTAATAGTTGAGTGGGGGATATGCCGGTTACAGACTGTGTTGGAGTACAGTTCTGCTACTGCTGATGGCCCACAATGTCTCATGGATGCTCAGTGGTGAGTAGCTAGATCTGCTCAAAATCTATCCCATTTAGTATAACGATAATGTCACACAACACAATGGAAGGTATCCTCAATGTGCAGGAAGAGGAGTTTATAGAATGCTTTTGTTACACAGAGGGAATGGCCAAACCCCTCTAATAATTAAACCTACACAAGCCCCAATCTGCTATTACGGGAGTGGAGGTTCCCTTCTAATAGTTACCCCTCGTAATCTGTTAAATTAATGGTTAAAGGAAAGGAAATCCCTAATCCACTTTATAAATAACAAGTAACAATTTATTTATTTAACCTTAACAATGAATAAATTAAAAGAGATACTAACAAACCGAACACTATCTCCCCTTTACAATAACTACTCCTTAACTGGTCTAAATTGTACTGGAATACTGTTCAAGTCAACACAAGTCCCACTTAATAAATCCAATTAATAAGAGCACAATAAATTAAAACTTAATCTCTCCAAGTTCACAGAGATTGTCTTCTGAGACTTCCTGCTTTCTCCAGCCTTTCTCCTGACGATCTTCCTTTACAGATGTCTTTCTGTAATTGCTTCTGTGAGGATTTTTATCTAAACTACAGTGGTACCTTTAAATTAGATGGGCTTTCTCTGAAAGCAAAAGGTGCTGTCTTATGGCCCTTGGCTCTATCTCTCTCCCTCTCTCTGCCAATTTTCAAAAAACACTTCCTTAAATACCGCCGATGATGCAACAAATTCTCACAATATTATTGGATTTAGGCTGTCAATGCAATCAGATTTAAATTTGATAGGTTTTTTAAGTTTCTAAGGGTTTGGTTTAAATTGATTGACTAAATTTGAACTTGTCGTCAAAACATCAAAACAAGTCTGAGGTTTTGCCTTTCACCTCTAAGGTCCTATTGCTACAAGTGTTTCCATTACAAGTACTTTCTATAATTGCACCCTCTGGTTACTCAAAGACCAACATTTTAAAAATCTCTATGCACAGACGAAGCACAAGTCCTTTAAAGGGACCACAGCACTGCATTTCCCTGCCTATCTAACTTCCTGCTTTCCAATTCATAAATACTTTGCAATACTTTCAAGATAGTTTGTTACAGCAGTACATTCCAGAACTGGCCAGAGAACAGGTTGTGTTAATCTTGGTGCTGTGTAATATGTTTGGAATACATATTTATATTTAAGGAACGTTAGAACTAGAATATGGAACAACTTGGACATTATGGTTTTAGAAGGGTTTACCAAGATTTTGAAGGGACACGTGATTTCTTGGAATTGTTCAACAGTAACGTGGGCTAAGACTCCCCTGCTAAGTATTGTGAAGTTAACAAATCTTTGGAAAAAAAATAAGTAAATCTTTTAAGAGAGATAAAAAATGTAGATTGATGCTTTAATTGCTACACAAATTTGGTCTGAAAAATACATGGCCTATGTACTGAAGGTCACCTAGAAACACTCTTCTGGAGTTGCTTTCTGTTTTTTCCAGGCCCCGGGTAATTTAGTAGAAGGAAGAGATTCTCTGTCTCTCTCTCTCTCTTACCCACACCACCCTCCATCCCCCACCACTAAAAATATAGGAAGAAATCTTACAGCTGGACAAGCTGCACATATCTCTCTCTCAGTGAAGAATTTTTGGGAAAATGAGAACCTTCCCAAATATCGATATCTCTGACTTACTTCATAAGCTCCGACATCTGAACTGCTACTTCCATTCAAAGACCTAAGTCTGACTAACCTTCGGTTGGAAATGAGGTCCGGTCTGGGGCTGGGTTCTTTCACTTTTCCTTTCTTTACTTGTTTAGAAAAAACATATCATCTCTACAGAGCTGTACTGCCTTGGTTTTTTAAAAACATTATCTTGAATTATCATGGTTTTTCAATGAATGAAACCTGGTTCAGGTCTCTTATTCTGGACAACAATAATAAAGGAAACAATTTTACCAATCTGGCGACTGAATCAAGCAGGTACATCTTGTGGAGTAGTGGGAGTTGATTAGCAGCTCACGCCTCCCATCAACACCATAACAAATGTGACAGGATTAATTAATAACCTAGGATTAAAAATATCCGAGGTATCAGTGACCACAATGTGATTAAATTTTACATCCAGTTTGAAAAGGAAGAAGATTAGGTCTAAAACTAGAGTTTTAAACTTAAATAGAGGTAACTATGTATATTGGGTCCATTTCAATGTGTTTGTTGATGGAGTTCCAGTTGGAATGCCTGGCCTCCAGGAATTCTCTGGTGTTTGAACCAGAACTCCATCAACAAACACAATGATCTGGACCCGATATACAAACCACTGAAAAACAGAACCGGAAGTGATGCCAACCACCCCAGCAAACTGAGGCATATAAATAACAAGCAGGACAGAACACCAACGCTTCACCACAGGCACACTGATGATGTTACCCAGCAGAGTGACAAAATGTCTGCAACGAAACCCACTGGCTCGGCGAGCAAGTCTACAACCTCACAGCAGCAGACATTTAAGGGGATATTTGAGAATATGTAGACTAAGTATATTTCTATAATTAAAAATTCAAATGGGAAGACCCATCATCCATAGTCAACTGAAGAACTTAGGAAAAGCATAAAACTTATTAAAAGAAAAGCATATAACTGCACAAAGATGAGTGACAGGTCAGATGATTGGTCAGAATATAAAAATCGACAGAGAATGACTAAAAGATTGACCTGGAGAAAGAACACAGACTATAACAGAAAGCTAGGTGGAGATAGAAAGACAAATAGCCAAAGTTCCTATAGGTATTTAAAAAGGAAAGAACCAGATTGAGTGTTGGTCCTCTGGACAGTGAGACTGGGAAATCAATATGAACAAATATTTTGCTTCTATCTTCACCACAGATCACACAAAAAAATCCAGCAATAGCTTTAAATCAGGAAATGGAGAGAAAAACGTGGTGAAATTATAATCACGAGGGAAACAGTACTGCATAAGGCTATATAATATTATATTTGGAATATTATGAGCAATTTTAGGGGTAGGGATTTTTTTTCTTTATTCATTCATGGGATGAGGGTGTCGCTGGCTAGGCAGCATTTATTGTCCATCCCTAATTGCCCAGAGGGCAGTTTAGAGTCAACCACATTGCTATGGGTCTGGAGTCACATGTAGGCCAGACCAGGTAAGGATGGCAGTTTCTTTCCCTAAAGGACATTAGTGAACCAGATGGGTTTTTCCTGACAATTGGCAATGGGTTCATGGTCACCATTAGATTCTTAATTCCAGATATTTATTGAATTCAAATTCCACCATCTGCCATGGTGGGATTTGAACCCAGGTCCCTAGGACATTATCTGGGTCTCCAAGTTGACAGTCCAGCAATAATACCACTAGGCCATCGCCTCCCCGTTGATTGAA